ACTTTTTTTTGTTCCCCCCCCCCCCCCCCCCAGCAACCTGTATCCCCTCTGCTCACTCACCACATTTCAGACACGGTATCATATACCGTAATCAGTGCCTTTCAAGAAAGTTCGTTTTAGTTGTAGGGGGTCTCAAGCGAATGTATATGTATGATATGAACACGTTACCGAGAATGACTGGGAGACAGCGCGCTAATTAATCTTCCACATATCTCGCAAGAGCGTGAAAGTGGCATAGGGCTAGAAGGCGCTGTTCAAGACGTTTTAGACTAATCCCTATCCACAGACATTTGTTTGGCAAGTCACATTCCTCGAGGGAAGAGCCGCTAATCAGAACGAAACTGTGCGCAGGAAGCCATTATATTTAGCAAGTGCAAACCTCATCGAAAATTAAAAATGGAACTTGACTACAGTTACCATGGTTATTGAAAATTGCCAGATATAACAGTTTCCCCTCCATTTTACATCCAGGGTGAACGATAGAGTCCTTCATTGGCCTTTTGTGGTCAACCCAGTCAATCAGTCCCTTGATGATCCCGGACGGTTCCCAATAAACCGCCTAGGAAAAATAGAACGTTTGGCTGGACTGGAAGGAGTTTAAACCAGTATTCAACTTCTGGACTTCGCGTGTTTGATAGTGCACCACTTGGCACTACGCTATCTTCATCTTCATAATCAGAGTGTCTACGAACTTTTCTATCAGTCACAATAAATAAATTGAATCTTTTTGCTCTGCAATCTCCACTAGCTGCTATTTAAAACCCTTCTATTTCATTTGGGAGGCCTTTACAATTCATTCATTCATACCTAGTGAACAAAAGAGATCTGAAATAACCCATTCCACTGTTCAGAAAAGAAAAAACGTTAGGATCAGAACATGAAATAACTGCATCGTTGGGAATTTTCGAAGATCTCACAAAAAGACTTACACGACTAGCCGAGGAAGCATGCGACTGAACAATGACCTGTTCGCAAGCATGGGCAGCAAGATCGGCTGGCTGCACCCGACCCGTTGATCAGCAGCCGGACATCCCATCCCATCTGCTAAGTTATATATACATGAACGATCGCGGACAGCTATGGCGTGGCGTATATCACTAGCAGCTATTATCACTTGCAATGCATCCCGTTCAGAAATTTTATACGTACCTATGTATGAACAAACTATGAAACTAAAAGTTATTACCAAATCTTTACTGGTAGCATTTGATAAATATAATAAATAGAACAGACTGAATTCTTAAAAGCTAGAAATAAGCATCAAACAAGGGCACCAAGAAGGTAGCCGATGAGAGTAGGTATAAACATCACGTAGTATGATCACTTTAAATACCCATTAATACAACACAGGAAATGTTTGTTAACATTACCGTACATTCAGTGAAATCAACAGAAGAATTCAACTGACTTCGAAACGTTACTACGGATAGCGTAAAGTGATGGCTTAAAGTCGAAAGAGAAATCCGAAAAAACTATAAATCAAGAAAAAAACTCTGAACCATACCGACGACATAGAGCACTATGATTACACGAGATAAAATAGACATTTCGATAGACAGCCTAGCTTTAAACAATCGAGATTAAGTTGCCTGACCACACTTGCACTTGCACGATGAGCACATTATGTTATGGATACACCCGAAACTGAAAGTAGTGAAAGCGATATCGCTCACCAAGGTCAACTACAACATCTCATCAAGTACGGACAGTGTGTCAGTCTTATCGCCGGAGTTACCGAACTACGAGGAAAGATCGGAGCTGAGGTGATTGTGCTTCTGATTTTACACTCTTCCATTTGACCAAGAGCGATAAACATAACTAAAAAGGTCGACGAAATGACCTCGTAAAAAACCATCGTAAACTTAAACAGAACGTGTTTCCGCTAGGATTTAAAAAGCAAATAAAGATTAGTGCATCACAAAAACTATGCTAAATGGAAACGCTATCTGAACAGTCCGATCCATATTAATCACACGCTGCAGAACATGGCAGGGACTGGCAAGTTCATTCGTAAAGGGAAATTTATGACCAACGTTCACTTCAGGAATAGTTCATTAAATTGAATGTACCCTAATAAAACTACGATTTTCAAATGACTAATGGAAGTGAGATTCGCAAGGACATCAACAAAACGATAACGATAAGAAAAATCCTATGCCGCAACTCACCTTGCACTATCTATACGGGATACTTGGATTCGGGAGCTAGTCGATCGAGTACCTGAAACTCAGATAGCATACCGACGTCCAACAATTTCTGTCTATAAGTGTACTGACCAATTTAAACAATAGGAGGAGTTTTAGCTTTGCAAGAAAAGGGGAAGCGCAATGGCTAGTGAAAGATCACCCGACACAAATACCTG